AACATATGTTGATAGTTTACTGAACACATTGAACGACTTGGAGAAGATGAAGTTGCTGCATTATTACGTCATCAACAATTAGACCATATCTACATCTATTCTGTTAATATTCAAAGTAATTAAAAATTAGTAGTTATTCGCTCATAACTAATCAATCAAATATCTACTTTTTATTAGAAGATATATTATTTTTGTGTCTTTTATAAAATATAGGATATTCTAGACATCTATTTTTAAGTTTGGAGATCAATCAAACATATCTATAAATTTTTTCCTATATATTTTCGAAACTGAATCTATTTATTTTCGTGTTTTATAATATATAGGATATTTTACGCATTTATTTTCAAGTTTTTAGATCAAGCTCACATATTTATCATTGCCCTAACCTCCTAAATTTCTTTCCTATATATTCGAGAAACTGCCACCTTACATACAAAGTAGTTCCATAATCGTATACACAATATCATCTATTTACTATACTTGCAACAATAAAAAAGATATTCCATAATATTCACATAAGAAACATATTTCCATAATTTTCTGGTCGGTTTTAACTAATCCACAAAATATGGTATTACTTGAACATTTAAATGAAGGATATTCTTCATTTATAAATCGTAATTAAGAGTTGCCGTGATCTACTCATCTGTTTTCCTATATTTTTGGTGCAAAATCAGGAAATCTACTATAAGATATCGAAATCTACATTATAACTAACCATAAAATCAAATTTGTAATCTCCTCAATCTAATCTATACTATTAAAAGAGAAGGAATCTAAATAAATCTACTTAAAAAATTTGTTTGGACCCTTTCATTTTTAGTCCTACCTATTTTATACAAACAATAATTACGTTATATAGCATAAATATTCTCCTACCTTAAATGTAGTTTAATGTTGTTACCTATACAATAATAACTTGGACCTTACCAATTGCTCAGGCCCAAGAATAACGCATGAACACAAACTATCTCATTGCTTTTGTATTATTCAAATTATTCCTTCGGCTACCTTTTTCTTCATTATGATTTCTAATTGAATTTGCTAAATTGTTACAATCTCGATTTTATTTTAAACACACGGCTTTTATTTACACATAAATTAATTCTGGAAATGTCTATATATTTAGATGATGGGCATATTTTGTGTCAATGATTTCAATATCCTCTACTATCTTTGTATGTATTTCACGTCGAGTAAGAAGATTGAGATATGATGAAAAACCTGAAACTTTGAGAATGAGAAAAAGCTTGAAACATTGGTTTAACACATATGATACGATAATTAAAATTCAAATATTCCTAAAATTTGGAACAAAAAATTCAACTAAATAGAGGAATCTATACTATTATCTCATTCTGGAAATCTAACGTAAGAAGGTCTTTGAATTCATATATAAATTTTTATTTTATTTTACAATTAGTTACTCTAACCAGAAAAATTCCCAAAATTTTGCCCGATTAACTGAAAAATACGTAAGCTTTATTCGAATATCTAAAATAAAATTTTGCACTTTGAAATTTACATGAAAATAAAATTATAACTGAAAACCAGATCTTGAATCTTAATGTATAATACCAAACACATATTTGAAATATCCAAATATATCTAATTATATACACAAAAAATCGATTGCTTTGAGTATCCAAATGGGTCTCGTGTAGGATCCGAATCCAAACCAAGATCCACAGGTCCAAAAAATATCGAGTAGGTACTTTTTTCCTTGACTGAGACTTGAATCAAACCTATATTTTTGGGTCGGTTTTGGTTGAGTTTTTTAGATCTGGATAAAATGCCTAGACCTAAGAGAGATAGTTAAGAATTCGCATACAAAATATCATATAAACCATTTCATAAATTATATACTTTTTTAAAAAATATTCTGTTTTAATAAATTACATACTTAATAATGTACAATGTCAAAAATAATAAATTATACCAAATTTTGTTTATAATCCAAAAAGAAGCCCGCGCTTTTGAAGCGCTGGTCAAAATCTAGTCTTATATATTAAAACAGAAGTCATGACCGTATGAAAATTTAAAAAATGGACCATCACTAAAAACTTTTACTATATGTATTTCATTAAGATTAATAATATATAGAATCTTTAAAATATTTTCATGATAATGTCTTTTGATATCTTTTTATTTATTATAAATATATTTATTTAATTCTAACAAATCTGTTTTAAAATGCAAATACAATAAGATAAATATATAATAAGTGAAATACACATTTTTTAACAATATATTAATATAACATGTAAATTATAGAATTATTGTAGTTGAAATAGTTATATAAACATTTAAGTATATGATTAACATTAAAAATATATATCACTTATGTTCTAAAAAAATATTTATGTGTACAAAAGTGAAGAAAAACACCCGCGCGGTTAAAAATCTAGTTTTGCTTAAAAATGATTTCGACATCTTTCTTAAAACAGTCTCAATCTGAACATGGCAATCGAACAACATACCATAATTGGTTAAACGAGAAAAGAAACCTATTGAGCCCAATGGACCAAAATCGGGCCATCATCAATGTGACGATATTTCAGTATCAGTGCCGGCTTTAGGGGTGGCAAACATGGCCTATACTATAAGTCTATCTTAAAATTAACTAAATTTAGTGATAAAAAGGTCCATATTTATGTTTATCTCTTATAACAAAGATCCAAAATGTTATGCTTAATCAATTATAATACATAAAAAAATTTTGTCCAAAGGTCCAATATAGTTCTAAGCCGGCACTGCTCTGTACACCTGCAATTTCTGATTAACTGTTTATTCATATTGGTTAGGTGCATTCTTTTGGCTAAAGGAAACTTCTTGATCAACATTTTTAGTTAAATATCTGACTTTCCAAACAAGTTTGACGTTTTAAGAACACGTTAGATGTTGATAATTTTTAGTCTAAAAGAAACATTATCATACATAAGTCAAAGGGAAAATTTCTTAAAAATACACCAACTGAGTTTCTTTTGCTAAAAAAATACATCAACTTTTTAGACTTCCCGAAAAATACACAGAGTTATTTTGGTTGTCTACAAAATACATGAACTTTTGAATTTTGAAGGTTTCACACCTCGATTTTAACGGCGTTAACTTTGATTAACAGAACATTTAGACGTCGTTAGATGCCGTTAGACGACGGTAACTCTGATTCAAAAGTTCATGTATTTTGTGGACAACCAAAATTAGTCTGTGTATTTTTCGGGAAACCAAAAAAGTTCGTGTATTTTTTCAGCAAAGAAAATTTAGTATGTGTATTTTTAAGGAATTTTCAAAAATATACTAAGGTGGCAAAGACATTGATTTTTTTGTTTGACTGAAAAATGTAATTTTTGAATATATTTTGTGCATATTGAGGCCGGTTTTTCTAGGGTGAGTTTGGATCTATAATTAAAATACGTGTAAAATACCAGTAATTTTTGGATATGTATCATGTAATAGAGAATGTGTTTTTGTTTGGGTCTTTGGGTCGGGTTTGGGCCGGTTCTTTTCGGATCTAAGATATCCGGATCTAAGAACATGCCTAAACTCGACTCAAAGAACTGAACAAAAACACATTCTCTTCCACATGATACAGATCCAAAAATTACTGGTAATTTCCACATTGTTCAAAATATATTAAAATACGTGAGTATTAATATGAACAATGTGTTTTTTTGCTTCTTTATATTTTAGTTCGTGGAAAATACTGGTAATTTTTGGATATTTATCATGTGGAAGAGAATGTGTTTTTGTTCAGGTCTTTAGGTCGGGTTTGGGCCGGTTTTTAGATCCAGATATCTTAGATCCGAAAAGAACCGGCCCAAACCCGACCCAAAGACCCAAACAATACATTCTCTATTACATGATACATATCCAAAAATTACTGGTATTTTACACGTATTTTAATTATAGATCCAAACTCACCCTAGAAAAACCGTCCTCAATATGAACAAATATATTCAAAAATTATATTTTTCAGTCAAACAAAAAAATCAATGTCTTTTCCACCTTAGTATATTTTTGAAAATTCCTTAAAAATACACATACTAAATTTTCTTTGCTGAAAAATACATGAACTTTTTTGGTTTCTGGAAAAATACACAGACTAATTCTGGTTGTCCACAAAATACATGAACTTTTGAATCAGAGTTAACGTCGTCTAACGGCATCTAACGGTGTCTAAATGTTCTGTTAATCAAAATTAACGCCGTTAAAATCGAAGTGTGAAACCTTCAAAATTCAAAAGTTCATGTATTTTGTGGACAACCAAAATTACTCTGTGTATTTTTCGGAAAGTCTAAAATGTTGGTGTATTTTTTTAGCAAAAGAAACTTAGTTGGTGTATTTTTAAGGAATTTTCCCTAAGTCAAATAATAAGAAATATAATTCTTTGCTATATCATGATCCATGAACAACCTGTAAGCGTGGGACGCAAGCTCATTTTGACGGTCCAGATTGTTCTATTTTCGCGGGTATTATAATAAGGTGTGGACACGGACAAACTTTTTGAGATTCTAGTTGACAAAGTCCTTTATTTCTTAAACTACCCTTACTATTTAATATTATTGCAGAAACCTCCTCGTTATTTCTGGTGAAGTCCTCGGTAGTTGTTGGTAAGTTTCCGACTCTCGACGTCGTTTTTAGGGCACGCGCGTCAAAGCTGAAACTTCATCGCTATGACACGTGTCATCAACAAAGGCTTAGTCTTAGCCGACTGTAATCCACAAACTAAATACCGTTCTCTGATTTGCCACCATAACACGCCACGTGTACAAAATTTTCACCGGCTACACCCACAATTCCTCATCTTCATCGTATATATATACACATAGAGGTAGGCATAAGGGCCAGAGAATTTTCGTCTGTGTGAGGAAAAAAGAAACGCGAACTTTGAAATTGTCAATTATACTTTGGACACAAGCGATTAAAAAAAATCGATCTTTGGTTTATAACTTATAGTTGTTGTGAAAGTGAAACTGATTGCGAAAACAGAGAAAGAGATGGTAGCAGAAGCAGAGGTTGTATTTCAACAGAGTTTGCCGGCGGTTCTTGATATTGACGGAGTTTCTTCCGCCGTCATATCTCCACTTTCTTCTCCTAAATTGGGTATCCTTCGATCTGCGGCGTCGGTTTCCGCCGGTTTATCTACTTCTCCGGTGGTAAGTTATCTACTTTCCGACATGTTTATAGAGTATTTTTTTTTTGTTCTTTCTGAAAATTAATCGTCTATAATTAGCAATTAAACTTGAATTTGATGAGTATCTTTAGATTCTTCAAAGAAGATGATGACTTTATAGGAAAACGAACTGATCTGGAACTTTTCCGACATGATCTTTAGGTTTCTTTAGCTTTAGAAGAGACGTAGATGATTGTCTTGATGGATGTCAAGGTGATTCTTTAGATGACTTTATAAGAAAACGAGATTATCTGGAACACTTCCCACAAGATCTTAGGTTTCTTACGAGACATGTTTCACGTATGTTTAGATGCTTGTTGTTTAAAGTTTGCGAAGTAACTGAATTTAAAGCTGGTGATTTTGAGAGTTGAGAGCTAAATGTAACTCTCTCTGTAGTTATTGTGTTTGTTAATATGTCTTGTCTTCCCAACTTGTGTTTCCTTTATTAATGTTCTCAACTGAACATGCCTTTTATACCTTTTAGGGTCTAAATCAGGAGGATGGTTGCGACTCTAGTGTCCCCGTCTATGTTCCAATCATACGGTCTGGAAGCTACGCTGATATAGGGCCAAAGAGATTCATGGAAGACGAACACATTTGCGTAGATGATCTGTCCTCTCAAGTTGGGTGTCTTTCTGAATTGCCAAAGCCAAGTGCTTTCTATGGGGTAACGTATCTTTCGTTGCTTCCTTGAACAAATCTAATACTTTTTAAAAATGATTGAACCTGAGTTGGCTTCCTTTTGTAGGTTTTTGATGGTCATGGAGGATCAGAAGCAGCAACGTATGTAAAGCAAAATGCTATCAGGCTTTTCTTTGAAGATGATAAGTTTCCACAGACATCAGAAGTGAACAGTGTTTATGTGGAAGATGTTAAGAGTTCGTTGAGGAATGCGTTTCTACAAGCTGATCTAGCTTTGGCTGAGGATTGTAGCATCAGCTCTTCCTCTGGTACTACAGCTCTTACTGCTCTTATCTCCGGAAGGTACGTGTGATAACCGTTTAACTAGTGGTCTACTCTTGTGTCTTTGGTGATTTAACTGTGTGCTACTTATTCTCCTTTGCAGAGTCTTAATGGTTGCAAATGCTGGAGACTGCAGAGCAGTTCTTTGCAGAAAAGGCAGAGCAATAGAGATGTCTCATGACCATACCCCCATCAATCTACTTGAGAGAAGAAGAGTAGAAGAATGTGGAGGTGTCATTGAAGACGGTTACCTAAACGGAGAGTTATCTGTAACACGAGCTCTCGGAGACTGGGACATGAAACGCTCACCACACGGCTCAAAGTCACCACTCATCTCCGAACCTGAAATAAAGCAGATAACGCTAACAGAGGAGGACGAGTTTCTTGTAATGGGCTGCGACGGGATTTGGGATGTCTTGACGAGCCAAGAAGCGGTTAGCATTGTGAAGCGCGGCTTAAACAGGCACGACGATCCCACGAGATGTGCGAGAGAGCTTGTGATGGAGGCTCTGAGGCTGAGCACGTTTGATAATTTAACAGCCGTTGTGGTATGTTTTGTGACGGGAGACCGAGGAGATGAGACGAAGGTTTCGTTGGAGAAGAAACGGTGTTGTAGTCTTACTCCGGAGGCTTTCAGAAGCTTGAGGAGTCTGTTGGATGGCTGAAACTAGTGTGTTCTTGGTGTGACACTGATGATGACGAAAAATTATCTCACGCTACTTTTGTATTTAAGCAGCTGAGAAGTCTCAATAGATTTGTAGAATGTAATACTATATATGATGATGTGTGCTTGTGGTCTATTTTGATTACAGTTTTGTGTACAAGCTAAGCTGTTTGATTGTTTTGTTGTGTATAGTGAGAAGAAAACATATAGAATGCTTGATCTCTTCTTTTAATAATTAAACAATTAATTTAAGTATTAACAAATATAAGAATGTTAAATAAATAAATAAAGAATCGATTCTGTGTATAAATACATCTGATTAGTTCTGTAATTAGTCCTTTTAGATTAGGGCGATAGAAGCAAAGCCAAAGCAGACCGAAGTCATGTCCGGAGGAATCGCACGTGGTCGACTCACAGAGGAACGAAAAGCGTGGCGTAAGAACCATCCCCATGTATGTTATTACTCTCCCTCTTCCTCTCTTTATGCTCTTCTTTCTCTTTTGTATTTACTTGGAATCGAATCTCTGCTTCCTGTTTCTAGGCTTTTGTTGCCAAGCCGGAGACTTCTTCAGATGGAACAAATAACCTAATGGTTTGGCAGTGTATCATTCCTGGCAAATCTGCGGTGAGCCTCTTTTGACGCTCTCTTTTACTCAATTGGGTTTCTTTTGGTGCGAGTTTGTGTCTACTGATGCATTCATAAGGGTCTTGCGTTGAGTAATGAGTAATCAACTGAATCTTGTTTGCAACTAACTATAGCATACACTTTTTGAGTGGTTTGGCCGTCAGCTTCAAACTAGCTAACAATACTTTGGTTATTTAAATTTGGAATTTGAGGGATCCTGTAGAACTATTACTGGCAAGGATGTCGTGAGATAGTGTGTGTTGTTCTTCTGATTAGTTAGCATTGGGATTGTCGTTTATGTTTTGTCAGATTTTTGCCTTTGTTCATGGTGTTCAATGTTTGTTCAAAGTAGATCATTCATATGTCTTGCAGACTGATTGGGAAGGTGGGTTTTATCCACTGACCCTCAATTTCTCGGAGGACTACCCAAGCAAACCTCCAAAGTGCAAGTTTCCTCCAGGCTTCTTTCATCCTAATGTCTATCCTTCTGGAACAGTTTGCCTCTCAATTCTCAATGAAGATTATGTAAGCACTCTTCTTGTTCTTTTAAGAGCTAATGTTTTAAAAGAAAAAAAAAAGGTTTTTTTACAATTATTCTTTAACCCCTTAGGGATGGAGACCAGCCATCACTGTGAAGCAAATCTTGGTTGGTATTCAGGACTTGCTTGATGAACCAAACCCAAATGACCCTGCACAGACTGAAGGATACCAGCTCTTTGTCCAGGTTTTTTGTTGCTTTAACATAGATATTCCTATATGCTTGTTGACCATTATATTACAACACTTTGATCATTAGCAAGTAGTAGCATATTCAATATTTCTTTTAGGAGTCTTTCATGGCATTTAGTTATCATGGAAATCATTTGTTCATGGTTTGAGTTTTGAAGATTGGGAATGTGAGTAACCTAAGCACGGTTTCTGCGGTTGCAGGATAAGAGTGAATACAAGAAAAGGGTGAGACAGCAGGCGAAACAGTACCCACCAACTATTTGATATTTTGCATTGCCTCAAGCGAACTCTGGTTTATTTGAACGATTCTCTTACTCTACTTTGTAAGACTCATTGAGAAGAACATGTCACTCTTACATTTTCAGTAATAAACAAACACATTTTTGTTTTGAAAAAAAACAAAACAAACACAATTTAATACACATCTTACTGATTCTCTTGCTCTGTTGTTGCTTACACCGTTTAGCAATAGTCAAATTATGGTTAGGTTCATAAATATTAAAACTTCCACAACCTGTCAACATTAGACCTGAACAAATCTACTGTAAACAAACATGTCTTTATTCCAATGTACATCGTTAATTAGTACATTTGCAAGATGTTTGTGTATCCAGTGATTGCATTACTATATAGATTTCTATGAATACATGGACGCATTGTTCTTCATGCTAATTTGCAAAGGATGATCCAAGTTTCAAATTGGTTTTGTAGTAGTCGAAATCAAGTCCGAAAACTGAAGATGTTGCAAGAAATGTATGTAAAGCCTAATCCAAGGATTAACTTAAGTAATTAGTGTGGGAGAAGTCACAAATCCGTTACAATCCTTCAAGCTAATTCGCAAATGATGATATCTAGAATCGATTAGATTTTCAAATCGACATAAATAAAACCCGAAATACGCTACGATTGAGACCCTTCAAAAGATCAACATAAGTAGAAATGTAAAAACATTCATCAATCTAAATACGAAATCCAGAACAAAACATGTTCAAACTCTTAATCCATTACAAGAAGCTTATGAAATTACCAAAACAAAACCAGTCCTTAAAAATAGATAAAGCAAGAAACAGATCATGCCACGGCGCCCTCTTTCTGGTAAACGTAAGTGAGTCCACACTTACCACAGTAATGACGATCGAAATGACTCGCCATGAAAGTCCCAGCACCGCAAGTAGCGTTAGGACACTCTTTCCTCAGCCTCTGCACCTTACCAGATCCATCGACCTTGTAGAATTGAAGCACAGCGAGCTTCACCTTCTTGTGCTTGTGCTTGATCTTCTTGGGCTTGGTGTACGTCTTCTTCTTCCTCTTCTTCGCACCACCACGGAGACGGAGCACCAGATGGAGCGTCGACTCCTTCTGGATGTTGTAGTCGGCGAGAGTACGTCCGTCTTCGAGCTGCTTCCCGGCGAAAATCAGACGCTGCTGGTCCGGTGGGATCCCTTCCTTGTCTTGGATCTTGGCCTTGACGTTGTCGATGGTGTCGGAGGATTCGACCTCGAGGGTTATCGTCTTCCCCGTTAGGGTTTTCACGAAGATCTGCATCTTTGCGGCGGTGGGGACAAAACTTCTGAAACAAAACTAAAAATGAGAAAGTGGATTTCTTTTGTAGGAGAGAGGACTCTAGGGTTTTGGTCTTTTTTATTACGTAACTACCCTTCCAAAACAATAAAACTAACTGGATTTGATTTTGGGCTTTTCACAGACTCTCTTTAGGGCCCATAACGTTGTACACTAAGAATAAAAAGTGGAGATGCAGGGAATCGAACCCTGTGCCTCTCGCATGCAAAGCGAGCGCTCTACCATATGAGCTACATCCCCATTTTGTATAATTAAATAAAGATATAATTTTATCCGAGTATATCTCCTCAGCTTTGTTTTTATTTTAGTTTCGCATCAAATTATCTCTCCTTCTCAAATTCATTCCCTGGCTACCCGTCCAGTTTGTTGATTAAGTCGAGGAGCATTGTGAGAATATGTATCGATGATAAGGGCTTTATGTTCGTTGTGTTTTTGATATATTTGCTAGTTGCTTACACTTTTTCTGGTGTCAGAGTGATATAAATTCGAAGAATAATTTTTATATTTTTTAAAGTTTACTATTATTATTTGAATAAAAATGATTACAACTTTGGTATGACTTGAGTCATACAATTCAGGAAAAGATTACCAAAGTGAAATGATCATTTCATGATCTTCAAACAAATGTTGATAGATGGTTCGAAGAAATAAAATTCAATTTGGATTAAATAATAGTTTTTTCCAAATGTATGGATTCAAACATAGGAGCCATCGTTTAATATAGAGATTGTAGTTCAAAAGACAAATAACAGGAAAATCACAACCTATCGCTTCTCATGCAATAGTCACTTGACGATTTATTCAACCGTCGTGTAGGCGAATACATAAACGTTCCGATGCCACACGCTCTTCCGCAAGTGTATTCATTCTAGCATGTGCCGAACTCTTTTCACTGACCGAGGCTCCCACCGGCGAATAAAGGTCGACCCTCTCCAGTACACGACCCGACCTCATCAAAAACCTCACCATAACCAACTCGTACCCGCCTCCACTGAAATTCCTCACCTCAACAACCTTTAGCGTCTTCTTCAGACACTTATGATTGATTGGATACGCCCAATACGACTTTGGATTGAATCCAAGATTGGTCCTTGGCGCAGCAGGCACAAGAGGAGGAACCATTTGGAAAGTGAGAGTCTCCAATTCAGGAGAGCTATTGAGCATGAGCCTAATCCCAACGAACTCATCGGGTACGAGACTGGTCTTGATCACCAGATGCCTTGTCTCCATCGGTGCTTTCAACTTAACTGGATCGTCACTGTCTTTAATAGCTTTGATGAGAAAAGGACATACCGTTAATTTCTTGGCTGATAAAAGATCGTAAAGGAGATCACAGAGAGGTGTCCCATTCTCGTCGCCGTCTGTTTCCGTGCCGTAATCCAAGTATGCTTCTTCCATTCTCCTGTTCACTCTCAAGAACTGAAAGTAATGAAAGGATCCGCAGTACTTGAAGATCTCAATGTTAGGCAAGTCGAGGAGAGTGTAGCTAGTGGCAAAATCGCAATTCTCGATACTCAGTTCCCTTAACAGGCTGTTATCTTCGGTTATTGATTCGAGGCCAACGTTCCAGCAGTTTCGAATGATTAGACACTCGAGAAGAGGTGACTTTGATAGCACAGTCATGATGGTATTCCCGAGTTGGATATAACCAAAAGAGAGGCTTTTGAATGAAGATGGCTTCGCAAACCTTGACGGATCAAAACCGCAAGCGAACAGCTTCAATGACTCAATCGTTGCTAGACTCTCAACGCATTCCGGCAACTGGAACACAACTGCTGGTCTTGCTTCGTTACTTGCAGTGCAAGAAAGGTCAGAGAAATCAAGAACTAGATTCTTGACTTGTTTCGAGACTGCAAATTCGACCAGGTGCTTGATCTCTGTTTCAAATTCAAAGGGTTTGGAGAGACAAAGTTCGAAACTTTGGACGGCATTGCCCTGAAAATTGGTAGCCCAGTTAACCATAAAGCGAACAAAGGAAACCCTAGCATCCCTTATGGATTCTTCACTGCTGGAGACGGAATATTTCACGAACTCAGACTCTTTGAAAGAAACACTTGTTGAATCCATCGCTCTTTTGATTTAGCGAAGAAAAGAAGATTCAGAGAGATGATTTGTGAGTTCGTGAGGAAGGAAAGTTTATTTATGTTTCATTATATAAGCTATTGAAAAGTTGCGACTTTTTGGTTTTCGATGGCGGTTTTATTTTCTAACTCCTGAAACCTCTCTGTTTTCAACGGTCCCCTCCTCTTCTCTGTTCCGATTCGTATCGTTTACATAAAATAACGGATACTCTCCACTCCACTGGGTCGATTAATACAAATAATGTACTCTTTACGGGCTTAGTTTAAGTGACCCATATCTAGATTGCTAAATAACAAAACACTCCAGCTCTTTCATTTTAATTCAATTGGCGATTTATTTTTGGGCTTTTTGCAGAATTGACCTGAAACTTGAAGTCAACCACAAAACTAACCTCCCTTTTTTTTGGAACTTTATTTTGCCCAATTCACCCCACAAGTTCATATAATTCACGAAAATGCCATCAAATTTTTTTTTTTTTTTGGTTTCGAAAATAACATATTTACTCTCTCACCCTCATCATCTTCAAGTAATTACAAGA